TTAATAAAATTATATTTCAATTAAAACAGATTTTAGAGGGATTCAACAAAAAAGATGCTAACTTAATTTTTTGTCTTTTTCATTTTACGTCAGTTACCATTCCAATATTTATTATTTTTACCATTTTGCTTAATACATTTTTATAAATGGTATTGTTTTACAGTCTAACAACTTATGACCCAAAACCATTTATTGTTAAATTAAGCACAGTTTACAGCATTTTTCATTTATACTGGATGCAAATTGAAATTATTTGTCTGAAAGTTACATCAGCTATCATGGAATTCACCAAAAATATATATAAATAAATTGTGTGTCTGTATAGTATATCATATTTATGTATCGAGGGGGAATAATATTCAGGCTTAACCCTGGGACCAGCTTTTCCTTTGCAATGGTTCTGCGATTGAATTATTTTTCTTGTACATAATTCCATAACAATTGCCTTGATTTACCTATTACAACACAAATGTTGAATCAAAATGTCTTTAAAAAATAAATAATTGTAAAAATTTGTTATTATTTCAGGACAGATGAACAGCTGCACAGTGTTAAAATTACACACAAAGAGCCTGATGGAAAAATAGACAAAGTAGGTTTAAGATTATTTACCTGTGCCAATTAATTTGCTGTCATTCCGTTTTAGATTACGTTTTATCAAAGATAAAAATTTAATCTAAAAAAAATGAACACTTGAGTAAATTTGTAAAACCTGAAACTATCAGTCTGTGTTCATTAAACAGGCTTAAAATGCTGGAGTCACTGAGTGATTCTGTCTAAAGTATCTGTTACCACTTTCCTGTTCCATTTCCACTGGAGTCATGTGGTTCGTTCTTTCTACAGCTTGCATACCAAACTGTTCGGCTCTTTAGAGGTGGCTTTGATTTGTTCTCTGGTTTCAAATTTGGCAAACCTAATGAAAAAAAGTGGCTCAAGTATGCTATTTTTTAGAACTAAAATACTGATTTTAATAGTGTATAATCCAACACTTATTTTTAAAAATAAGCTTGAATATTTGTACCATTATAATAACTCATTTAAGACAACTAAGGCATTTAACAAAAATTTGTCATTCTTTGTAAATTAAAATTTCTTTGGATCATATGAATTATTTGCCATCTTTGTTATATTTTCTCCCAAAGTTAAAACACTTTCTTTGATTCCTCTTAAAGCCGTATCTGTTTCCTGGAAACTGTTGCTGGAGTTCCAGGAATGGTGGCAGCCATGATGAGACACATGAGGTCACTTAGAAGGATGCAGAGAGACCAAGGATGGATACACACTCTATTAGGTGAGTTATTTCTGCTAAAACTGCAGCTATGAACCTCCGGCAATATAACAGTAAGACTAGTAATTTCTAGCACCTGTTAAATTCAAGCAATACTATTAACGGTCACCAGAATATACATAAGGAACTAGAAAGGAGTATATTTAATTAAACAAATAGATATTAAGTTGATTTTAAAGCTGTTGTAAGCATTTAAACTAAGAATCAGCAAATTTATAAAGTTTCATTATAATATTTTAGATCTGTTGAGGATGTATTTCATCAGCAAAATTGATAAACTAATTAATATAAAGGCTAATAGGTTTCCTACATTTGGATGTGCTATGGACCCTATGTTTTCTACCAATTTCCTGCCTTGCTATTTTAACAGAGGAAGCTGAAAATGAACGAATGCATTTACTGACAGCCTTGCAACTGAAACATCCATCAGTCTTATTTAGGCTTTGTGTCATTGGATCGCAAGGTAGAGTTTCATTCAATTTTTTTTAAAGATTATTTTAAGCAAAGGCACTCTTTTATAAACTTGATCAATTGAAGTATGCATACATACTCAAGTAGAAATTATTACTTAAAAGAAGAGCACTGGTAATCTTTTAAAAAACTGTTTGCTGTACCTAAATAACAATTTAAGTTTAAAATCCGTGAAATAGATATTATTGAGCTAAGGGGGCATCCATAAAAATGTCATACATCTAGGGGAGGGGGTTTTGGCCACGACTTTGTGATAATTTATTATCAGTTTTAGTGTGTCTAAATAGTTTGATAAATTTGTGACTATATTAGGAGGGGGGAATCTGCCAAAACTGTGTGATATCATTTATGGACAACCCAAATCTCAACAGCCTGAAGAGTACATTTTAGTTGATTAACAATTATATTAAATAAGGTCAAATAAATACGAAGTTTCCAGATGCATAGCAAATGTTGAACTTTATTTTAAACTATTAAAAAATATCTCAAAGCCCATTATATCTGCAAAGGGTCCAAATGCTGCAGCTTTGAACGCTGGTACATTGGCATTCAGTTTACTATACCCCCCACCCCCTCCCTTTTCTAATCTGCTTGTTCTTTCAGTAGTTGCGCCATTGAAATTTCTCAAAGTGTGAAATATTTAAATATCATTTATAAATTTTAATTGTTATAAATTGTTTCAGGCGTGTTTGTCACTTTATTTGGTTTGAGCTACGCTTTTAGTCCAAAGTTTTGTCACAGATTTGTTGGATACTTAGAAGAAGAGGCTGTGAAGACATATACAAAATGTTTAGAGGTAAAGTCACCTAAAGTAGTGATGCAATTATGATCATATTGGTTACGGCTTATCTGAGTCTTCAAATTTCATTAGAAAAAAAAGTCAATTTTGCACATCCTTCAAATTATGAGCCAGTTACTACTTTTAGCACCATTTTTAAAAAACTTTATGGCTGCGACTATTTTATTTTAGTGGTATTTTATTTTAGTTAAACTGAAGAATTAGGTTTACAAACATATAGTTCGTTCAATTAACTTTCATTTGATACCTCATTTTGTCTTACAAACCCAACAAAAAAATTTTAAATAGTTTTTTAATCCCAACCTCTCACTTCTGGTACCCGGGTACAAATAGCAACTTCGAAACTTTATCTTTCCACAGTCAGATTTTAATGAATTATGAGGTATCCTATTTAATATTTTTTTATCTGTTTTGAGAACATAAATGGATTTAACAATTATTGTTTGTGGCCAATCTTTTGTAAGTGTTAATATGTTTCCATAGGATATTGACCATGGCTCTATGCAACACTGGAAAACACAAGCTGCCCCAGAAGTTGCTATAAGATATTGGAAGTTAAAGGTATTTTTTAAGTCTGGTACTAATGACAATCTTTTTTCAAAAGCTCTTAAAATTCAGGACATTCAAAGTGAGAATGTGATATCAAGATTGAAAATTTTTATGTTGAATGTTTGACACCTGTCAAAATTATTTGTGGCTGTCTTAGGTATTTCGGTGATCTGGTTATAATAATCAACCAACCATCTAAGGAGCAAATTGAGAATTAATTGTTAATGAGCCGAAAGATTATTTGTGAAAAGGCTTAACTACGGTACTCAAAGGTTTTGATGATATATCTCATTTTATGAAAGAAACGTCATGCAACCATTGGTTATTCTTATGTGTAGATATGTAACTTGTATGTAATATGTAATAGTTATGATGTCCTCAAAGTTCAATTAATTGCCGTTTTGTTTTACCTTCCTCCCTTTTCTTTGTACCTAAACACTAAATTCTGCTAATAAAGTGTTGTGCACCAGTTGTCATCAGTTTAATCATATTTACAAAGTGACAAATCATTTTATTTTTTTTCAGCCTGATGCCACTATGAGAGATGTCATCTTGGCCATCAGGGCTGATGAAGCCCATCATCGTGTTGTCAATCACAGCCTGGCATCATTAAAGAAAGATGAATTCAACCCATACAAACCAGGAGAGTGACGCTGATTCATGCTTCACATTATAACTTTAAAATTGGTTGACTTGTTCTGCACAGATATGAAACAATTGCTTAAATATAAGGTGACTATCTCTTTTGAAGCCTTTACACACTGCTTTTTAGTTGTGGGAGAATTGAATCAGATTTAAATTTTTCACAAGTGAATTCTATTTCCATTTTGATGTAACAAATCGCCCCAAACTTAAAAATGTAAAACAATGAGCACGAAATGGTTTATTAGATAAATATTATTGACTCTTCTGAATGTGGCATTTACTTTGATTATTTATGAAGAGTTTAAATATGTATGAGAGAACTAATTTACTCTCACTCCAGTTACACTATGCTATACATTTATTATTGTGTAAATACCTGAACTCATTAGTAATATTTGTGTTGCCCTTTTCTAATGTTGAAGTGTGGGGCTCTTCTTTTTTAAATTTTATTTCCTACCCACATGCTTTGCGTAATAATTGCTTTTGAATTGATATTACATTTTTTTTATACTGCATATACATGTTTTATGTTTTTTAAATTCTGTTTTGTTGGGATAAAGTACAAGGTAATTCATCTTAAATTTTGAAAGTGCTAAATAAATTGTTTAAAGTAAATAATCTCATCCAGGTTTTTATATACATTTACAATCATTGGCTATGTAAATAATGTTACATAACTTGTTTGTCTACAAGTGCTTCAATCTGTAATGTGATATCAAAATTTCCTGATGGCTTTAATTTCACATTTGAATATGTGTGAGACTTTTCAACAATATTGCAAGCTGTGAATTGTTATAGCACATACTATTTAATTTATACTTTATACAAAAAAAAAAAAGAAATGTTAACAATGGCCATGTGCTCCTTCAACTTCAAGCTAACAACTCTTCAATTGTTTGACTGACAGTGTTGATTGAAAGAAACAATGAGGCAGAGATTTTCAAGCATTTGATCTGCCCTGGCATTTATATCAAGAGCATTAGTATTAAATACAAAAAAAAATGCTATATATATATAAAATACTTATATGACTTGTATAAAATACTTATGACTGAGATCAACCATTTTGATTGTTTACAGAATGTATAAAACTTTTCTCTACTATTTAATTTTTTTTAAATTTTGATTGCACAATCCTTAGAGCAATGAAACACATTGATTGTAGCAAATTTTACTTGAAATAAAAAGTTCCATAGAAAATTTATTTCTAATCTTTGAGTTGTTTTTTTTTATATCATAATTAAAAATCAGCAGCTAAACAGATTATTGAAGAAAGCTCATTAAATAATTTACTGCTAAATTAAAAACCAAAAAAACCAAACTGGTGCATTAATGTAATACTCACAATTTAAAATTTGATTAATGGCAGTATGTAATAGCAGTTATAAATATGTGGCCAAATTTTTTTTAAATAGTGTGGCACCACTTTTGCTCTTCAATTTCAATTATATGCAAGTCCATAGATATAAACCCTATAGAGGTATGGTACAAATTTATACCTAAAGCATTTGATACAACCGTTTTAATATAATATTCCTTGTAGTGATGTTATTTTTAACACTATTGTAAAATAACATAGAAATTCACCATTCCAAAAACAGTCTGGATGGGAAAAGTCACATTTCATTTGGGTACCAAAAATTTGTAAACACTGGATCATGTTGATAAAATATTTACTCAAATATCACAGTTAGTGGAATCAGAAAATCATATGAATCTGGCATACTTGATTCTAAAGAAAACATTATTATTTACATCATCAGACAGATGACAAAATTAAAAGCCCTCACTATCATACAGTTTCTATAGCTATAGGAAAAACACAGCTTATACTGATTCTACACCTGCAAATTTTCAACTCTCTAATCACAAAGCTTGCACCGATTTACAAAGACAAAAAATAGTTCCAAATTATCATTTACTTGATTTAAATGTAAGTCTAAATTATCTGGTGCTATCTAAAATCATTTTAGATCAAGAAATGAATATGAATTATATCAAATTTGTTCTTAACCTGCCTTATTTTTGGTAAATGAGAGTATCCAAGGTTACGCATTGACTTAAAAACTTAGATTATAGTTGCAAACAGCAAATGTTTAATTTTTAGAGCCAATCTATTCTTAGGAACAGAAAAATGACACAAAACAAACAAGAGACATTACCAGAGGTATGATGACATCACATTTTTTTTTCAGGCTCAATTATTGCTCCGGCAAATGGATGGAAAAAAACATGTATGTGAAATAATCTCTGTAAAATATAAATATATCAAGTTCAAATGATGTTTTAAACCAATAGATTTTTAGCATCATCTCTTATTTCAATAATTATTTTTTTGGAGCTTCTCAGCGCTCTCACTACCTGTTTTCTCTTATAACTTATGATGATAAACAATTTTTTATTTTATTTTTTTTTTTGGATAAATTTATGAAATTGAATAATCAAAGATTTTTTTAATAAAATATGATCACTTTATGAAAATTTTCCGTTAATTTTAATTCAATAACATTAACTTATTTGCATTTTACGGCTTTATTTGTCTTCATTTTATTTTCCAACTGACAACATAACAAGTGACACTGGCAACCAAGGAAAGATCAGACCCATAATTTTTTTCCACTATATCATCACAATGTGTGAATATTTTGTGACTATATTTAAAAAAAGCTTGGCACAAGGGGGACGGATTTTTTTTTTTAAGGCTCAGCACCAGCTAGTTAACAACTAGGCATTCGATAATAATAATTTTTCTCACATTCACATTAAAGATTCCACAATTAGTATCATTTAACTGGGCAATAAATACAACCACCAGGTTATAAAATAGCAGACATCTCATGTTAATTTTAAAACTGGTGAATGTATTCATATTCCTGGTATAAATGGTGCGCTTTTAAAATCTTGGATTGACTGATTTTCGTACAACATCACCAGTCAGTTATATAACAAATCCTTCATTTCCTCCACCGCTAGAGTGCACTTGTTTGTTTTGTAGAGTTTTGTCTTTGAGTTTGGCCTGCAGTAAGATGTGCTCCACTACACCAGCTCGAATGTCCATTTGTGTATTTTCTTTTTTCAGCAACTGTATAGCCTGTTTAACCTTCACCAGAGGTGCTGTAATGTAAAAAAATGTTCATGTGGGTTTTTGCTCAACTGATAACTTCAGGTAAAAATAACTTGAAGAAATTTGTTTAAAATTTAAAAATTGAGGAGAAAGTGAATATCTTATAAAAAAATAAAACTCATGTGTGTCTTTACAGGAAAGAAGTACTGTCCTGCTGATGTTCTTGTTACAAATATAATATCCTATCATTACAGCTAAAATGGTCAAATTGAAAATAAATCCAATTTGGTGTCCAGGTAAATGATAAGCATGGTGGGGCCCGCATCCTGCCTTAAATGGTAAGATTTGAGATTTCCTTTTAAAAACTGATGTTTCTCTATTTAATAAATTTCCAAATAGTAATGTATAACAGTGCAACTTATTTCTATTTGGACACCTACTGAGGAAAAAGAATAAATATAAAGAAATACATCCTGAAGTCTCTCATAAAATTAAATACATTCTTAATGTTGTGATGTCCTTGAGTTGCATTGCCACAGTTGCTTCCCTCCATCGTCAATGCGTCAGGCCTGTGTTTCTTGAGTTGAGATGTGAGAGACCATGTTGTTTTGTTTGTAGCTACTCACTGAACATCAAGACATGAAGCTGAACAGAGGTTTTAGTTTTCCTTGTGTTTACACATAGTAGTACTAAAATATAAAACTCTATTCTTGTATAACGTTGAAGTCTTTCCTGTCTGATATATAAATGTGCTTAAAAAAAAAAAATAATGCAAAACCTACCTCCATCTGTCATGCTGCTACCTCTCTCATCCATTTCTTGTTTTATTTTCTCCAATTCTTCAGTGATCTAATGACATTTAGATTAAACATTTAATGATAATAGCTAACTTTAGTTTTTTTTCCAAAACATTAATATATGACGTTATAGATCACCATCATTCGCTCAACACAATTTGATGTTAAATTATTTTGTCAGCATCTGGTCACTTAACTGAAAAAAGTATGTCAATTATTACAAGGGGTGGATAACTATGAAACATCATCCATCCTATTTTTCTCCAATTCACTTAAATTTAAATACTCTCTATTTATTGACCAATGCTATGACTGAAATGTTTCTATGAACAAGTTGTATCAGTTGTATGTTTGCATAGAAGTCCTGTATATTATTTTAACTTTGTTACATAAATATGTAATTTGAGTCTGGGACATACTATTTGTATATCAATGTCTAGTTGGTTCATATAATCAGCTCCTTTAATTCTCAACTACTGTTTTGGCATTATCTCTCTACACTAATTTACAAAGCTGTCTACCTCAGCCAACATTCTGGACCTTTCTGTCACACCACCACTCGCTTGTCTGTACTTTTCCTTTGTTTCTGCAAGAGCATCTTGCGCTTGTCGGAAGTCCACCAGGTGATGTTCTAGTTGTGAGTTGATGTATTTCTCTCTGCTGGAGATCTTCTCTAACGTCCTAGAGATCTCATCCTGAAGCTTGTCTAAGTGAACTTTGCTCTCATCCAGAGATGTCTTGATACCCTCATGGTGCTGGTGCATTTGTTCCAGATGGACTCTCCAATCCTGCAACAATATATTTGTCATTAGCATCAAAGATAGAATGTTTTGTTTGAAGTAAAGTCGTAACATGATTACTTGTTGCCATTAATGGATATGAGGTCTGGGTGGCGGTTAAAACACATGCTGATGATTTTAGCTACACGGCCGTGAGAAAGCCGCTCTTAGGCGACCGTTTCATCCCAGCTTTCACCTTGACCGAAAGACTCTGTGGGTGGTGGGGGTGGTAACGCAACACCAATCCTCCTGAGGGGAAGCAAACCCATCCCGACCCTTTGGGAGAGTGGACCATGAACGCTTTAAACACTGCGTTTTCGGTCGACCGGACGTCCTCCAGGCCAGGGGTTCCCGAAAAATGTGGTTCCGGTGTAATTCTTTGATAAGGATTTTTTTATTTTTTTTATTTTTCATAACTGGGGCATTAAGAGCTCACACTCGACTGCCCACCTACGCCATTTCCCATTTCAACAATTGAATTATCAATCATATTAACCCGCAAGGTAAATTAAAAGAACAATGTATTAGCCAACTAAGATTAACTCAAAGGACAATTTATTGGCCAATCAAGATTAACCCAAAAAACAATGTATTATCTAAACAAGATTAACCCAAAAGACAATGTATTAGCCAACAAGATTTATCCAAAGAACAATGTATTACATAAGATAAGATAAGATTCTTTTATTGATCCAAATAAATGGAAATGTTTTTTTGATTGCATTATACATTTTCAGCACAAAAATAAAACAATTTTGAACACAAGACATTTATAATAAATTATTTCAAACAGCCATTCAGTGAGTTCTCTTAGAAAAATCGGGGACTTATTAGTTCTCATTCAGATGTTTGACTTCAGAGGAAGCACGCCGGTAAATTCGTACAGATTGGGGAACAAAAGAATTTTTATATCTGTCAGTCCTCGCCCTGATGGAAAGAATTCGTCCTGAACGGCCCGATCCTAAGTATCTGTGATTAAGAGGGTGGGATGTATCATCCAAATGTGTTTAGTTTTACAAAAACATCTTTCTTCAAATAGTTCTTCAAGCGAATGATGTTTAGTTTGTGTTATGTTCCTAGCTTTCTTGATTAGTCGGTTTATGCAGTGTTTAATATCAGACGTTGATATCCCACACCAGCAGGTTATACTGAAATTAAGCAGGCTTCCAATTGTTGCACTGTAGAAGAAGTAAACAACTTGCTTGTTTACGCCGAAATAGTACAGTTTTTTAAGGTAGAACAGTCTTTGGTTTCATTTCTTATACAGCATTTGGCCGTGCTCATGCCATGTTAGCTAATTATTAATTTGTCTGGTCCCGAGGCTTTGGCTGCGTCCACTTGGTTAAATAATGACATCACTCTCTGTTCGGTAAACAATAAAGTACCATCCTGTGTACTACTGCCATCTTGAAATGAATTCATCATCTCATTGTGCACTCTTCCAAAGTCCAGGCTGTCAAAACGACAATAAAAGTCATTTAAGTCGTTAACAAAATTCCTCAACACTTAAGCATCCTTGCTTAGGAGTATATCCTGTTATTTGCTTTAGTCCTGCCCAACAAGCCTTTGAATTTTTAGCAGTGAATAATTTTTCGATTCTTTGCTTGTATTGTTTTTTACCCAGATATATTTTTTCTTTCAATATTTTTTTAGCTTTAATGAATTCCTGATTGTTAATCTTAAACATGATCTTCTTGTGGTGGATGGCCTCCTTTATTTCTCTGCTCATCCAGGGATTGTTTTTTTGGGAATAATTTCGTCTACACAGAACTTAATATAGGAATTGATGGTTTTGTTAGCTCGTCAATGTCCGGGCAAGTGTTTATAAATGTGTCCCAGTCTATACATACCAAGCAGGCTTGAAGTTTTTCTGTCGCCTCATCTGACCACAGTTCAATAGTTTTTGATGGAATTTTTGTTGTTTTTAAAACTGGCTTATAGCATGCCGTTAGGCGGACCATTGAGTGATCTGATTCTCCAAGTGGAAATAAAGCAAGACATGTGTAGGCCTTTTTAATATTACCAGAACACATATCCAGAGTTCAGTCTTGTCGCGTGGGGCAAGTAACATACTTGATGTAAGTTGGCATGGATTTATTCAGTGATAGTTGATTAAAGTCCCCCATAACAAGACAAACGGAGTCTGGGATTTTTTGTTTCGAAATCATGGATTACATTCAAAAGTCTCTCAGTAGCCTGCTCCTTGTTACCATTAGGAGGAATGTAAGTAAGGAGGATACAGATTTGGGTGAACTCCCTTGGTAGGTACAATGGCCTTAAAGTAATGCAGAGTAGTTCTATGTCGGGTGTACAAATTACATGTTTCACTGTACTGTTGTTGATGCTACAGTAGTTTTTGTTAATATATATTGCCAATCCCCCTCCCTTGGATTTGCCACTGTCGGTTGTTCTTTTGGCATGGAAAAGGTTAAATTCGTCCAATGCCACTGCTGAATCTGGTACTGTTTCGTTAAGCCATGTTTCTGTCAGGCCTATTAAAGAGCTTTCGCGAAATTGATAGAAATGCTTACAGCAACAGTCCAGTTCATCCATCTTGTTACACAGTGACCTGACATTTCCCAAAAAAACAGGTGGAAGAAAGCCCCGCTGTCCTCTGTTTCTGCATTTTACACGAATGCCTCCCCTTCTGCCCCTCTTTCTTTGTCTAGGTCGGGAATCGATCGCCATTTTTTTGTTGGTATGGCGGAAGTTTACAGAAATGGCGGAAGAGACATTTCTTTACTATGCTGAGTTACTTGATATCTAAAGTCCAAATTAAAGCTGTTTCCCAAGAAAGAGAAACACAAAAAAACTCACCGAGAAAATCGGCCTTAGAAAATCCATTAGAACTTGAAAGAAAATACAATTAGACAACCAAGATTAACCCAAAGGACAATGCATCCAAGATTAACCCAAAGGACAATGCATTAGCCTAACAAGATTAACCCAAAGGACAATGCATTAGCCCAACAAGATTAACCCAAAGGACAATGCATTAGCCAAACAAGATTAACCCAAAGGACAATGCATTAGCCAAACAAGGTTAACCTAAAGGAAGTATTAGACAACCAAGATTAACCCAAAGGACAATGCATTGGCCAACGAAGATTAACCCAAAGGACAATGTATTTGCCAATCAAACGATTAACTCGAAGGACAATGTTCCAGGAAAAAATGCAGTAGCCAACTAAGATCAACATAAGCAGCTATGTTTTGGCCCACCAAGATTACTAAATAAAGATGCAAATATGGTTGAAGAAGAATTCAATTCTTACCCATACATATGCAGGGCTCACTATAATATCATGGAATATCTACAGTGGTTCTCACCCTACCTTGTTGTCTGTCCTGATTGTGACTTTAAGTTGTGGCATCACTCGCTCAACTTCAAGTTTCCAGTCTGCTGCATCTGTTGTTGACTCTAGAATTTCTTCTGGCTTGCTGGACTCAAAGGTTTGCTGTTGATTTGGGGGGGGGGGGGGGGCAAAGAGTTGGAATCTATGATTACATACTTCTAACAACACCTAAAATTTTGGAATAAACTAAAATAAGTCAATAACTGTGCTTTGCTAAAAGCTTTACCCTCCTGGTTAACATTTATTAATTTTAAAAAGTGAGTAAATTTTCATCCATCTATCAAAATATTGAACAATAAAATCTAATTTAGTTGGTACGTTGGAAAGCAAAAACAATGATGTGGTGTCCAGCTAGCTCACTTTGTTCATATTCAATTTTTTCATGCCTTCAAGATCCATAAGGGGCTCATCTTCATCGACATCCTCAACATCAGAACTCTTGTTGAAACAAAAGAAAGTCTAGATAAGTCTTTAAAATGGATCGTAAGATCTCTCGAAAAAAATATCAGAACATATAACTTCTCCATAAAGTTCCACCACACAACTATTATAATCACATTAAATTCTACCTTGAAATTTTATTCACTATTATATTTCTATATAAATTTAAACGTTTGTAGTGTTTCAAATTGCTCAGTCCATTGCATATATGATATAATTTGATTTATTTATTTATACAAAACCTTAAAAAAAATTTAGGAATAACACAATGTTTTACACTTTTGGAGAAATTATGCTAAGACATTATGTTCACTCAACAAGAAGTTTCACAAAGTTCATATGAAACTTGGTGCCATAGTAGAACATAGTGTGAATATAGCGAATGTGTGTATTTCATGTTAATTTTTTTTTTTTTTAAGACTAGGTTATGATTAATATATCAAAATCAAAGATTTAAATTACAATGAGTAATCTTGAATTATTTCTTAACCCTGGATTGTGCATCAATTCTGAATTGCATGCTTAACCTGAAAAGGCAATCAACCTTGCACACTACAATGATAATGTTGTGTAAATGAACTTCTCAATTTCCTTCAGTGTTAACTGTGAATGAGTGGGAGTTACTTACCCCTATGGCCATGGACTTCTCAATTTCATTCAGTGTCAGCTCTGAATCATCCTCAACAATATTCTCTTCATCCATTTCTTCCTCTGGGTAATGTGGTCTGCAATAATTTTTTTTTTTTTTAATTGCACAGGTTAATTTTTAAATAAAATAATAAGGAAATCCTAGAGAGATTTTTGAGAATTGAATTTTACACCATGCTTTACTCTCTTTAGAAAAAAATATTGAAAATTCCTAACCATTTAATGGGACAGGATTTATTCAAACCGGACCAATGAGACAAACAGTAGCGGACATAACTTTAAATTACATAATCATGAAAAGCGGTATTACAGGCATAAGCAAGTGTGAAAAAATACATTTACCTTCCCCATGTGAAATTAGTACTTTTCAGTGCCTCATCAGCAAGACGGTCTAGGATATATATGCAGTGCTCACCCCAGCCTTGTTTCAGCTTGGATGGAGGAAAGTCTATTGCATGGCCCTGTAACAGATTTCAATATAACAGTTTTAGTATTTAATGGAACCTAACAATGGTTTTAAGCCTGAGTTTACATTAATGAATAAATTTACACTGTACAATGTCATCAATTATAAGCTTATTAATTTTATTTGTTGAACTCTGGTAAAAAAAAAATGATCAAAGTATCAAATCTAACAAGCATTTTCAAACTTTAAAAGACTTGTGTGTTTTTTTCAAACCCTAATGATATTTTTTTAAATTTACATTTTTATACTTAAAATTAAAATATTGACAATACCACTTCTGTAGAAATTAATGAGGAATCATAAAATAAAATATTGTGCTGTTTTTATTTGGTTCCACTAAATTATATAATATTTTCTTAAAAAGTTGAATTTAAAAAAAAAATAATAACTTACATATTTTCTAACTTCATCCAGGAGGCTGGATATAGTTGCATTTGGGTCATCATACTGTTTATAACAGAGCCATAGTGAATACAGACCCAGAAAATGATATCAAAATAATAATTCTAAATTCAAAAACAAGTAAAAAATATATATATTAAAAGATAAGCACTGTTTGAGTCTATTTATTCTGTTTATTTTAGACTTAAAAATAAGGTATTAAACTGAAATTTTGAACAATAAAAAAAACTATATAAGATAAGCTGAACGGCCCATGCTAACCTCTTGGGGCTGATCAAATGGTCTACCAGCTTTATTTAATAACCAAGCAGCAAGGGATGTAAACATGTAGAATTGTTCTCCAGGGTTTGTCTGAACAGCAAAATAATGCCTGGGGTGGGGTGGGGGAATAATAAAAATAATATTATTGTTCATACCTTTCGTTAAGATAGACATTACTTCCACACAAAAAGTCTTTAAATATATCATTAAATCTACATTTACAAAAACATGGTCTTTCCAATTCTCTATATCATAAAAAAAAATACCTGTTAACAGGTTTGAGATTCATCTTCTTTGAAAAGTCTTTTTCATAATCAAGTAGACGCAGCTTATCAAGTAGCTCTTCCATAATGACAAATGGCATGTATATCAAACCTGGTCCTCCATCTTCCACTTCATCTCCCCCTCCTCTTCTCTTGTCTTCTGTCATGTTCTTAGTCTGTCTTCAGGAAATGATATAAAATTCTAAATTATGAGCATTAATAAATTTGTTGATTTTTAAATTGTATTGCCTTTGAATTTGAATGATAAAGTAAAGAATATAAAATATTAACACATTCTACAACTATGCCACTAATATGATGGCTATTACTGAAACTGATAGGGAAGATGAGGGGATGGGACGGAGGTTACAGAATTTTCCTTATTGATAGTATAGGCACTGGCTATCCTGACTAAAGGCCTACCATATCATAATTATATATGGCGTTTGCCCATTTATATTGTTATACCCGGTCATTATTATGATGGCAATGGCATTAATGATTAGGCATAGGCCTATTATTAATTTCAAATTTCATATTATTATTATAAATCATAGAAATAGATAGGATCCTGGCCACGGCATTGGTCTATATTATGACTATGAGTGAGACCAGGCTATATTCTTTGTTGTTAAGGCTAAAAGGCTCAGGCTTTTAAGGTTATGTTTAACACTAAGATAATACTAATTAAACAGCTCCTAAACTTTATTTTTTCATATAAATCATTTATAAATGTAATATTGAGCAATGGGGGATGGGGCTGAAAATTTGACAAAAAATGCTTAAAAGTAACACACTTTATAAGAGTCCTAATTAGTGCCCCCCCCTCCACCGCACCCCTCCAGGCTCGCAATTGCACATTTTTTCACGCCCCTCAACTATTTTAATATTCTATTCTAAAGACTCACCAGCTTTTACCTTGCAAAAATTATAACGCACCCAAGGCACTTGCAAAATTTATTATTAATTAAGGAATCTCATTTAGCTCAGTTATCAGGAATTTTCCTTTATGTTCAACTTGAAAAACTGATTTTTTTGGGGTTGGAGTTGGGGTGTGGGGTTTGAAAATTTGATAGAATGTGCTCTACTCATTGGCACTGGCAACGAGTCTATTATGTTCCAAGTTTCAGCTCGATAGCTTGACGGGAAGTGAGTCGATTAGCAGTCTGAAGATTTTTTGAAGTTAATTTAATTTATCGGAATACTTATAAATAGGCACTTTGATGAAAATTTCTAAACATTTTAAAAAATATAAAACTACTACAGCTGTATAGAGCCAATAGAGTGGTTTACAAAAACACCAAGATCAACTTTCTAGCTCAAGTGGTTCAAAAGTTATGAATTTTTTAGTATGGACCTCAAAAGCACTTTTTCACTATGGGATTTTCCTCCACATTTCGTCCCCCTTATATTGCTATTGTTTTTATGCCTATAACTTTGTTATAAAATGAGACAAAAATATAATATTTACAGGGAACACAGTTAAATATGAGTTCTTCAAAATTAAGCCACAAAATACAATTGTAGCTTTTGTTAATATTCCGCAAAAAAATATTTTTAATCTTGATAATTTTCCTTATTAAAATGTATCAAATATGCTGACTCGTCACTTATTTGTATTTAATTAATATATTTTTTAAAAACACATATATAT